GCACTTGCCCCCTCTTCTTCTTCCTCTTCCGGGGATGATGAGCACGATATATTTTGAAGTTTACGTTAGATTCAAAAGATTAAGCTGCATTCCAAATTGACCTTATAACAATTTATGAGTGGCCAACTGCGGTTGATTTACTTAGCAGTTAGAACACTGATTATTAATAAAAGCTCTCGATATGATACACGCGGGTCTTTACCGATCAATTCAGTTCCTCATGATGTTTAAAAAGTAAATGGGGTCTTGTATCATGCCACTAGGGCATTTGGCCCCATCGTCCCGTAAAACAGATCTTATGAAAATGTTTTGCGTTGTTTTGTGATGCGATCATTGAGATGGCGATCCAATATTTGCTTCTCTAAACGCTGGGAGGACAGCATAGCACTACATCGTTCACATGCTTCTTGTTGATATGCTAATTTGTCTTCCTTTTGTCCCGGAACCCTGTAACAGGATCATCCATCCCTCATTTTTGCGGATTTTCTGTGGAGAACCCATTCAATGTGATGTCCTCTTAAGAGTTCAATCAGTTTAGAAGGATGCTCTGCAATTAGAATATGAGAAGTATGCAATCAAGTCCAGAAATGCATCGCGGGATGTTTTGCCCACATTACCCCTTGAGACACAGGCTGTAATATTTTTTACCTTTCGTATAAATGGTCATATTAACCATACTTTAGACAGCGCTAGCTTAATGCTGCCCTATTCTTGGACATATTAAAAGGGAAATGTGTAATAGTAAATGATCTGAGTCGAACGAGAAAATTTTCACGCAAAATTACTACGAATGACTCGAGTTACTGCTTTATTTTTTCAATTCTGCACCCACTATTATCATAAGTTACTTGTGAAGTTTTGAATAAATTGCTATTTTGCTTACGCTCATGTATTTGTCATTCACTCGGGCAGATGTTTTTTTCAACAATGTGTCTATATGATCTAAGAAAACCGCAGCGTTTTGAGTCTAGGTGACCCAATCAATTACACCTCTTTTTTATATGGACAAATTAAATTTTTATTCAGAAATTATTCAGGATGACTATTTTAGTGCCTTACCTTTCAACACATTTTGTGCACAAGTCACTGTAGCTTCACGAATTAACTAAAATAAGTACATCAGAAGCCGTCAGATGTTCAATTCAGTTTCATTTTCAATGATCACCGTGTGTTTATTTATAAACGGTGCAGTATGACCTCAACGGTTGTTGAAATTAAATAGTAAACATAAATGCGAAGATGGCAGTCAAGCACGTCTTTTTAGTATTTTAACAGGACTTATGAAAAATGCCTAAGGAGTTTTTTCACGTCTTGCCCCCCTACTGCAGTTCCATTCTGGCAACGCCACATGTTCTGCGTGCATGTACAAAGAGGAGAGTTCAAAGGTATTTACCTATATTTCCCTAATAAAACTGAACTGAACTGAAGGTTTGCAGAAAATATGATCCAGTGGCCTTTTTTACAATTTAGTAGTTTGAGTAAGCAGGTTAATTGGCTGAATCGTTTGTAAACTGTTTTGATTCTTAATTAAATTTCTTTAGGCTGATCTGAGGGACTTCAAGGCTATTTGCCTATATTTCCCCCAATAAGCCAAACCTGACCTGAATTAAATGCTTTGCTAATCGATACTGGCGCCAAAAACCACAGGCTTTCTCGCACACTTCACGATCCCTAAAATGACATTTTGTCCTGAGTCTATTTCTCCCTTTTACAGCGATTTTTAACTATGCCCTTTTTACATGAAATAAGGGCATAGCAACGCGCTGGTAGTCTGACCCTAGGAATTACTTGTTGCATTATTCTTTCAACTACTAACGAAGATTTTTCCGGTATTTTAGAATGCAAGACAGGCCA